TGGTAGGTGGTTGAGGGGAGCGGCCAATGGCTACAGCGTCCTGAACGCAGGAGAGCAATGACGTGAGAGGGAGGAGAGGGGAAGCGGCAGACGCGAGAGGGAGGAGAGGAACAGGGGCTGAGTGACGATCACAGGTGAGGTGCGTCTGTTGTGACCGCAGCACAAGGACAGCACAAGCACAGACACACACACGCACATGCACATGAGGCAAACCTGGCAGAGCTGTTGGCGCACATCGGAGGGCAGGTGCGGGGCAGGGGCAATCTCAACCACCTGAAAACACAAATGGGATGCGTGTGTGCATGGGCATGAGGGTGGATGTAGGTGATGACGAGCGTTGTAGATCACAGCAGTGGTACGCTTCTTACAGACACACACACACACACCTTTTGCTCCTTGGCGATGCAGACAACGTCGTCGAAAGTGAGGTAGGCGGCAATGGGGGCTTTGACGGTGCACAGCATGTACGATTCATCAGCCTTGCAACGCTGCACGGATCTGAGACGAGGAAGGAAGCGTTGCAGGCGAGTGAGTGTGTGTGTGATGTATGTGTGCGTATGCGCTTACGTGTGTTGAGCACACAAGGCTGAGCAATGCAATGCAATGCAATGTAATGGAATGACCTCACACACACTCACACACACGCACCTTTGGATGAACAGTGTATTCTTCAGTCACGATGGCTGCCTCCTTCACATGTGTTCAACTCACGCCCTTCTTCTGCACTGCGTGATGAAGCTGTGTGCTGTGTGTGCTCTGTCCTTGTAGGTCCAGTCACGAGCTGATGAAGGCAAGGATGGCTGGATGGATGGATAGATAGATGCGTTTCAACGTGCTCCTTTCCACAACAACACAACAAACACAACAGCAGTGAACTTGCTTGTGTGTGGCTGGAAATCCAATGCACGATTCCCAACAATCGTCCAAAAAAACGCCACAAACAACAACAACCAATCTGGTCTTCTTTTGTCTTCTCTTGGTGCTGCACCTGTCCTGCGAACAGACACACGAACGAGGAAGGACTGGAAGGCACACTTACCTTCTACTTCTCTTCTCTCCTCCTCTTCTCCTCTCCTCTCTTCTTCTTCACCCACTTGGAGTATGATGGCACCGATGAGAACGATGGGGTGCCTGCAGGCAGGTGGGTTGGTGCTGCTCCCCGCGCTGCTGCTGGTGGCGGCGGCAGTGTGCTGGATGCCGTTCATAAGCAGCGTTGCTGGAGAGGTGACGCTGGTGGAGGATGATGCAGGTGCGTTTCACATCAACACGAGCGATCCAGCGAGCCAGCCCGTGTTTGTGAACGGGATGAACGTGGATGCGCTCTTTGAGACAGTGGCTGCACAGCAGAGCATGTTGCAGGTGTACCAGCAAAACGTGCAGGCGCAGCAGAGCATGATTGCCATACAGCAGGACACGATCACCGCTCAGCAGGGACGAATCGACGCCCTTCGAGCCGAGGCGTGCAGCGCAAGCTCATTCACCTTCGACGATTTTGGCACTCTCGTCTTCAAATGGGCTGGCGGGGTGCTGGCGAACAACGGCCTAATCTACGCTGCACCTTTCAGCTCAGAGTCTGTGCTTATCATTGATCCAAGCACCAACACCGCCGACACAACCACCATCTCCGAGCTGGGCATCGACAGTGACAAATGGTCCGATGCGGTGCTGGCGCACACCGGTCTCGTCTACATGTTTCCATCACACAGAGAAACCATGCTCATCGTCGATCCCGATACCAACACCGCCGATACCACAACCATTCAGTCCCTCGGTGTGGGAACGGGCAAGTGGTTTAGTGGTGTGGTGGCAGACAACGGCCGCATCTTCGGCGTTCCGTTTTACGCCACCTCTGTGCTGCTCATCGACGCCGCCACCAACACCGCCGACACCACCACCCTATCAGGCCTCTCCTCTGCTACCCATAAGTGGTACGGCGGCATTCAAGCAGCAAACGGCCTCATCTACTGCATCCCATACAAGGCAACCTCAGTCCTTGTCATCGATCCAGTGTCTCTCACGACGGAGGACACCACGATTCACAATCTCGACACGAGCCTGTACAAATGGCGGGGAGGCGTCTTGGCACGCAACGGCCACATCTACGCCGTGCCAGCTCGATCTGCGACGACACTGGTCATAGACCCAACCACGGACAGTGCCACCACATTCAGCGTTGCTGAGGCGACGGGTTCGAACAAGTGGGTCGGAGGCGTGCTCGCACCAAACGGCAACATCATTGGCATCCCGCACGACTCGTCTTCCGTCCTCAACTACGATCCCACCACCAACACCACCGACACAACCAGCATTAGTGGGCTTTCAGGCTCCAACAAGTGGTGGGGTGGCGTCCTCGCTCAAAACGGTCTCATCTACGCCATTCCAGCCACCGCTGATGGTGTGCTCGTCATCGATCCTGGCTGTTAATCCAAAACCACACCCTCCTCCTGTTGGTCAACGTTGGCTGTCCCGTCCTTCCTTCCCTTGTTTTTCTGTTCCCATGCCATGTGTCGTCTTGAGCGTGATTCATGTGCCCCAAGCTGTTTGTTTTGTTGGGCTGACAATTACTATGTACTCATGATTTCAATGACGTTGTTTATGTTGTAAGTTGTTGTTGTTGCGGTTGTTGTTCTTGCTGTCTTGTATCCCCCCCGCTTCTTTCAGCCTTTGAGTTGAATGCCAAATGACCGCCTCCTTTCGTGTTTCAAGGTTTCACGCACACACACACACACACACGCCACAATCGCTGCTGTGTAGCGTAGCTTGGCTGCGCAACGTTCCTCCTGCTGTGCGTGGCATGCACGCTCAATTCTTTCACGCCACGCCTCCTTCTTTCTCGCCAAAATGCAGTGCAGCGCGTGCATTTTGTTTGCTTGTTGTTGTTTGACGTGCCACCTCACCTCGCTCCTTCCTCGCTCCTCCTTCTCTCCTTTGTTCTCCCTTCATCACTTGCCTTGCCTTGCTTGCCTGGGTGCCTTGCCGCGCTCGCCACGCCCACGCCACGCCCACCGTGTAGTGGTTCCACTTTAGCACTCCAGCACTCCCTACTTCCGCCTGGTTTGACTTCACAGTCCTCCTTGCCAGCTTGCTACCCACCAAGAAGCCGCACACACAGTGAAACAACCAGCGCATTCCCCCCCTTCCACAAGTTCAACAGAGCGTGACATCAGCGCAACTCCTCCCCAAAACGCCTGAACACCTCCCCTCCCACACATCAACAAC